TTCGAAATTCGGTTTTCGATCTAATTTAAGATCGAGTTTTACTTTTCAATTCATTGTAATAGTTTGATTAAGTGACCACATGGATGACTTTGAGAAAAATTAACTTCAGGAGTAGAGGTTAGAAAACCTACAATGATCGTTCCAAGGTAAGCTGTACATAAAACCGTGTACATGAACGTGTACATAAAACAGCTGTACATAAAAAAATTTACCGTGTTCAATATATTATATCTGTAGTGACTTTCCGAGTTCCCGACAAGAAAGTGTACCGTTTACAGTGATACTTTTTACATGCAGCAACGGCAACATACATATATATTGACGTTTGTCAATGGTAGTTTTTACATGAGCTGACTGTAATATACACATGTCGCTATTGTATTTTCTAGCTACCCCAACGGTAATAAATGCGTTGCTGCGTGTTACTTTCTACATGTATCAACGGTAAAGGGTACACCAGTGAACGTTATCGTATATACACGTTATGTGGTAGCTATTGCTTCAGTTGACGAGTTTATGCTGTCACGATTGTAAATATACCTGTCGTATCGTTGTAACTGTAATCATTCTTTGTAATAATGTATACCACAATGAAATTGTACATTCGACATTTTTAGCAGAGTAATCATTACTTTGTAGAACTGCTGTCCTTATATTTCCCAGCGATTGCTGTTATGTCTATCCCAATTGTAGTAATTATAAGAACTTTTTTCTCTCCGTGTATACACATACTGTAGCAAATGACCTCTCCATGTCTATAAGCTCTATGGTCGAGTTTCCTTCTCTGCGGGTGATTTCTCCTCCGCTCGTTTGCCCGATATTCGCAGAACAAACGAAACAGATGTGGATTTTCGGTTTTCCTGTTTGCACTTATTCGTGTATTTTATCACCAATCTCCTTTAAGATGCAGTAAAGTATGAATGCTGCACGTTTTGCTGCAATTTGAGGCTCGCTCGTAAATCAAAGGGGGCACGTGCATTACCGGTTTCCCCATGCTTTGAACTCCGTTTTCTCCCCCTTTATTTGTTTAGAATGTGCAATCTCAGATAATAGAGAATTTATGGGATTGGATAATGCGATAGGATTGTGCAGGAGCTGGCTAACGCAATACGAAGTATTCTGTTTGTTATTAAAATGCCAGTAGTCTTTTCCAATGGAAGACGCACTCGAGTTGTTTGACTGGAAGGAAGGGAAAGTTTCATCTGGTATTTTCTTAAGTATCACGAGTATGTAAAAATAGTAACAAATGCGTACACGGAGAGAAAAAAGTTGTTATAATTACTACAATTGTGATACATGTAACAGCAACCGCTGGTAAATATAAGAACAGCAGTTCTACAAAGTAATGATTACTCTGCTAAAAATATCAAATGTACAATTTCATTGTAATACACATTATTACAAAGAATGATTACAGTTGCAACAATGCGACAGTTATATTTACAATCGTGACCGTATAAACTCGTCAACTGAAGCAATTGCTACCACATAACATCTGCATATGATAACGTTCGCTAGTGTACCCATTACTGTTGATACATGTAGAAAGTAACATGTAGCAACGTATTTATTACTGTCGGGGTGGCTAAAAAATATATTAGCAACATGTGTAATTTACAGTCAACTCATGTAAAAACTATCATTGACAAACGTACATATATGTTGCTGTTGCTGCATGGAAAAAGTGTCACTGTAAACGGTATTCGTTCCTGTCGGGAACTCGGGAAATCACTACAGGTATAATACATTGAAAACGGTAAATATTTGTTTTGTGTAAAGCCTACTCTTGAACGATTGTTGTAGGTTTTCTAACCTCCACTCCTGAAGTTCATCTTTTACAAAGTCATCCATGTAGTCACTTAATCAAATTATTGCATTGAATTGAAAAAGTAAAAGTCGATCTTAAATTAGATCGAAAACCGAATTTCGAAGAGATCCAAATTACACGGCTACCGAAGTCACAATGAATGTAACAGTCCGCGGGACTGATGCATGTCACGACCCAAATGCTTCTCGCGCTGTGGCTTAAACGCACAATAGGAACAATAATAATTCACACTTGTAAGAATTACTAGTTCTACGGTATATTTTACGGTTTTCAATAGAGTTCTTGCTTTTAAATTTTGCAACTATGATGGTCATATTTATACGTGCCTTTATACGTGTAATTTTTACTTTCCAATGTTATACATGTAACACTGTCAGATGCAAATATAACTACAATTTATTTACAAGCATTCTGCAGTTGGTGCTACAGCCGCAATGGTTAAAAGGACAAAAAATTGTAATTATATTTACAATAATTGTTAAGGTTACAACAATACTTTTACCCGCGAGCATATGTAATGATTACAATATTATTTTTCTGCGTGTATCTTTTTAGCAATATACGTAGCTCGGTTCGACGTTTAAATGAATTCCTAGGACCGTCGTAAAGCGATGAAGAAACGCGGAGGAAAGTTGTTTTCGGCATTGCGGCTAAAACCCTGAGAGTTTGAGAAATTCATTTATTGAATGAAGGAGGTTGAATTTCATTTATCATATAGGCACGTACGCAACACTGGTACTTATTGGGAGCTGCCCTAGAGCTGTATGGTCCGATCGATGCGTAAATTGATTTGATACTTTCCAGGATAATAAATACTTCCGATAATGACAATTAGCTCGCCCTAGTTCGAGCACATTTTACCATTAACTTCATTTTAACTGCATGGACGCTTGAATGGGGTGCACTTTCAGCCCCACTTTGTGGTTGGCCCGTGAATCAAAAGGGATCCACGTGCCTTATCGGTACTTCTATTCACTCGTCAACAGTAAATAACGCGAAAGAGGGAACTCAGAGGATCGTGCAGTGATCAGGGAATTCAGGGCGAAGTATGGCATTCGTTCGGGAAAATGCCGGAGCTGGTTTTCATCGAGAGATGCCCTCGAGCTGCATAGCTGGAACAAAGAGAAAACCGATTCGATATTTTCCATAGCTGCGCTTGGCTTATTTTAGAAGCCCCGTTGTCATGTGCACAAAAGAAAATCGGATCTCCGGTCCGATGAAAACCTGGCCCTATTTTCCTTGACGCTTGGCATGCATCGGCCTCTTCACTCCGAGAGAATAATGCCGATACTATTTTTAAGTCCTTCGCTCGGGAAACAAAGAGACACGTGCCTGAACTCTTTTATCGCAATTTAGTCTGTCCCTTTTGCAAGTCCCCCATCGAAAGCTTCGCATTTTACTGTAAGTCTGATTTAAGTGTGTTCTTTTTTTATCGCGCGCGTGAATTGTTCGAGCATATCGAAGATCAAGAAACTTAGTAGTGTTTCGTGGCAAATACATTTTTGAGCGAGAAACTCACATTTCCCCTGTTCCTGAAATTTTGATCCTTGGCGTATAGAACTCTGTAGCGTCCACCTCGAGCTCAAGCGCGCAGGGTGCGTTCTTCTCTGCACACGACGCTGTTTCTCGTTCAAAAATATATTAGGCTCGAAACTCTACTAAGTTTCTTGATTCCTTTTCTATGTTAAGGTTACGATACTTTGACCCGCGAGCATATGTAATGATATTCTTTTCGATTTCCGTGGTATGAAACTAATCGCCCCGTCCTATACAATTTGGTATATTAGATAAAGAAGCAAAATATATTCAAATCTTTATATTAAAACACAGTTTCGAGGACATTTCACGTTTTGAGGTGCAACAAAAGAAGTAAAGTAATTCCTGAAATTTAATCCCTTTCGTTGCTTTCTTATGACTTTGGCGGTAGATATTCAGCAGCGGCCGATACTCGGAAAGAGTGCCGATAGCAGTGAAAGGGTTTAAGACAAATAGCACGTAGACTTATAGTTCAATCATTTCTACAAGTGGCAATTGGACAATTAAGATTAAGAAGTGTGAATAAGGAGTAACAACGAGAGAATGTTGCGCGTGATTGCAGCGCGATTACATAAGGCATCCGGTATCGAATAAATTGCCCCATGAGTGCAAGATGGCAAGACCATTTCTAAATCTTTCAGGGACGAAATGATCAAATTATGGTCACAAAATTTCAATTCAATTTATAAATGTACCTGCGTATCCTTTTGTAAAGGTGGGGGTGCCAGCTATACGCACCAAGGTGAGGTGCAAGTTTTCACCTATTTTTGATTATTTAAACCCCTTTTTTTTATTGTAGAGGTGCTGGCTTTTTGAGTACCTAGTACCCCCACGGAAAACTTCAATTTTTGTTCAAAAAACGAGCTAGCACAACATTTGCGAATGTAGCACATAATTAGCACATAAAGAGCACAAAATATTAAGATATAGAAATGTGAGTTTTGTAAAGATGGGAGTACCAACTATACACACCAAGGTGAGGTGCAAGTTTTCACCTATTTTTGATTATTTAAACCCTTTTTTTTTATTGTGGAGGTGCTGGCTTTTTGAGTACCTAGTACCCCCACGGGAAACTTCAATTTTTGTTCAAAAAACGAGCTAGCACAATATTTGCGAATGTAGCACATAATTAGCACATAAAGAGCACAAAATATTAAGATACAGAAATTTGAATTTTGTAAAGATGGGAGTACCAACTATACGCACCAAGGTGAGGTGCAAGTTTTCACCTATTTTTGATTATTTAAACCCTTTTTTTTTATGGTGGAGGTGGTGGCTTTTTGAGTACCTAGCACCCTCCACAGAAAACTTCAATTTTTGTCCAAAAACCTAGCTAGCAAAAAAATGTGCGAATGTAGCACATAAAGAGCACAAAATCTTAAGATACAGAAATTTGAATTTTGTAAAGATGGGGGTGCCAGCTATACGCCCCAAGGTGGTAATTATCTGCTATTCGCAAATTTGTTGTGCTAGGTCGGTTATTGGAAAAAAATGGAATTTTTCTCATGACTCATACTCTCTCAAATGGAATAAACCGAAGTTTCATCTCGATTCGATTATCCCTGCGAGGGATAGAGCGATCGAGCAATTGGCGAAAGCAAATACGAAGTGATAACGAGAGAACTTGTGATTTCAGAGCGATTACATGAGGCACCCCGTCCTGTACGAGCTGTCGCACAAGTACGGCGTGGCCGGGAGCGACCAGGTGCCATTGCCGGCCCGGCTCGACGAGCTCCGGGAACACATCCGTCGCGAGATACGCAAGGTACGTACGTCCGCACCCCAAAGCGAGGGAAATTCGATATCGGCCACCGATCGTCGTTAGTCGACCGGCCGGAATTTATACCGCCACCTACCTACGTGGCCTGCGATCTTGTTACGGCCAAGCCGCTGCGTTACGTGCGCGCTCTTTCGACGCCGACGCGTTTATTTGCGCCACGCTCCTCGGGGGTGTTCCGAAACCGCGCCATTCGGCTCTTACTAGAGAGGAAGAGAGAAAGAAATAGAAAAAGTGCGGATCGCAGGACAAACGACCGAAGTAGTACTTCAGCAATTCATTTGCATTATGTAAAGAAGGATTTTCTATTCCCATGTACTGTCCGCCCTATTTTCCATTAGTAATAATTGTTTCGTTTAAGGTGAAGTGAAACCCCCTTCAAATCAGTCGATTCGAATACAACACTTTTTTTTAAGGGTATTAGACTAAACTGTCCATTAGTAATTGTTTCATTTAAGGTGAAGTGAAATCCCCTTCAAATCAGTCGATTCGAATACAACACTTTTTTTTAAGGGTATTAGACNGACGTAAAAAAAATGTATTTTTATTATATTCGTAAGTTAAGAAATATAATTTCTCTATATGTATATAAATTATTAAAACTAAATATGTCATTGAGATTTTCAACAAATATTTTAGATATCTTCGAATGAAATCTACGAGACATCTTAAAAAATCTGTCGCTTGAGATACTTAGCAAGGATTAGAAGAAATATTTAGAAATTATTCTGTGCTACTAGGGTATTGTTCGACGTCTTAGAGGCCACTTTCGCGTCACCTTAAAACCTGTTACATCATAACGTAATAAGTAAATGTCAAAACCACTTTCCTCTTCCTCTGTTTTCTCGAGCAAGGTGTCCCGAGGGCTGGAATCGATACATTTTTACTGTAAGAGCTAACCTAGTAATTTCTTAATGGACTTTGCCTAATACCAACGCGTTATATGCGATTTTATGCTAAAACGATGGGAATGCGAGGTCTCGGAGTGATAATTTAATTGACCTGAAAATCACAGATGGCGCAGGGGGTCCTTCTGCAGTCAATTAGGGCCTCAGGAACCCATGAAACCAGAGGATTTCTGGAGTTTTAATTCGATTTCTTTATAATTATTGTGCGAAAACGACAGGTGGGGTATGCCATTTGGTACAATACCGAATATAATTCGATACAGCAGTGAATATAAAGACGCTCTAATATATAAAACGAAAGTGTCAGAACTATTGGACGACAATTTAGAACACTTTAGTAATCGATAAACTCGCGTTTGAACGGGATAAAGGCGAAAAAAGTGTCTTACGCGCTTCTATGCCAAAACGATGGGAATACGAGATCTTGGAGTGAAAATTTAATTGACTTGGAAATCACAGATGGCGCAGGGTGTCCCTCTGCAGTCAATTAGGGCCCCAGAAAGCACGAATCCAGAGGATTTCGGGAGTTTTAATTCGATTTCTGTATAATTATTATACGATAACAACATGTGGAGTATGCCATTTAGTACAATATACAATATAATTCGACACAGTTGTCAATATGAAAACCAACGTGCGGCAGCGTAGATATTTAGAGAAATCTTTTTTACCGACGTCGATCAAGTTCCTCGACGTGTTTCACTTCACCTTAAAACGCGCCGAAGGATCACGCGAGAAAGAAAGGTAGAAACGACTTTCCACTTGGTCGATCCCCTCGAGCGAGGAGTCCCGGGGGGCCGGAATTGAAACATTTTACCGGACAGGCCATCCCGTCACTTCTTAATCGACATCTCCGATCTCGCTCGGCGAGGCACCGTCTATAAAAAGCGTCGACTTCGCTTCAGGAGCTGAAGATAAAGGCGGGGGCGGAGAAATTGCGCGAGGTCGCCACCGACCGCAAGGCCCTCTCCGACGTGGCGATGATCGTCAAGAAGGCCAACAGCAAGCTGAACGAGCTCCAGGCGGAGCTGCAGCAGCTCGAGAGCCAGATCATCCTGACCCAGGGCCAGCCTCCCTCGCCCCAGCAGAATCACTCCAATGGCCAAGGTAAGCGACGACTTTTTTCTTGCGATTTCTACTTTGGCACTGGTGTGGGGTGATGGTAGTGTGTGCCCTGTTTGTTGTGTTTCGTCCCGGGTCTGCCTGTGTGGACTCGTCAGTAAGGCTATCAGGCAGACCCTGCCTTAGACCCCGAAAAATCTCTCCTGAGCGGGATTTGAACCCGATAGATTACATGGTATGAGCGGTGAGCGTAATCGCTGGGCTATCGAAGGCCCGTGTCGCAGGAAGAACTTGTAATATATATATATGCTATGACCGCCACACTACCCTCCTGGGGGTCCATCGATCGCTCTTCGATGATCTTCTCGAGGATCGAGCTCTCCTGAGCGGGATTTGAACCCGAGAGACTACATGGTATGAGCGGTGAGCGTAACCGCTGGGCTCTCGAAGGCCCGTGACGCAGGAAGAACTTCTAATATATATATGCTATGACCTACCCTCACACTACCCTCCTGGGGGTCCATCGATCGCTCTTCGATGATCATTTCGAGGATCGAGCTCTCCTGAGCGGGATTTGAACCCGAGAGACTACATGGTATGTGCGATGAGCGTAACCGCTGGGCTCTCGAAGGCCCGTGACGCAGGAAGAACTTCTAATATATATATGCTATGACCGCCACACTATCCTCCTGGGGGTCTATCGATCGCTCTTCGATGATCTTTTCGAGGATCGAGCTCTCCTGAGCGGGATTTGAACCCGAGAGACTACATGGTATGAGCGGTGAGCGTAACCGCTGGGCTATCGAAGGCCCGTGTCGAAGGAAGAACTTCTAAAATATATATGCTATGACCGCCACACTACCCTCCTGAGGGTCCATCGATCGCTCTTCGATGATCTTTTCGAGGATCGAGCTCGATCGATGCAACCTATGTTCCCGGATGTTGCTGTAGTCAGGTAGGGACTGATGGACTGATGGCTGTGTGAACCTGGAATTCAATTTGAGGCACACACAGAGACGTCCCTAAAGCTAGCAGCGCCACGTCAGCATAACCGCATAAATCATACACCAAAATTGATTGCTTTTTTATTGCTTATTTATTACACAAATTTGAATTTTATTGCTCCAGCCGTTTTCAAAAAATCAGTGACTATGCCAGCTCTAACGTTAAGCTGACAGCGCCACCTGACATTTTGTGTGAAATTAAAAAAATAAGTGGTGCAAAATGTAGGAAAAATTAATTGCTTATTTATTGCTCAATTTACAATTTCACTGATATTGTACAGTGGCGGACATGAATGCCTCCCCTACAGATACGGCATCGCCTGTGCTGGATGGGAGGGCATTGATGTCTCCCAGTGTACACTGCACACTGGCAGACGTAAATGCTCTTGTCACTAGTATGAAAAGAGAAGGCATTCACGTCCATCGTGCACTGTACACTACGGATACAGGTTGGATGTAAGTAAATCGACCTGGCTGACTTTTTTGATCGACTTCCTTGACTGGTGCCAAAGAAATATTTTGTTAATTCAAAAAATTCGACTGAAATAAACTCAAATGAATTGACAAAGTTTCGAAGAAACGTTGCATCCTATTTATTCGAGTTCAAGTCAAATAATTATACTTTGTATTAACAAGATATTTCTTTGGGATCATTCAAAGAAATATTTCTCTGGTTCAATGACATTTTTTTTCTCACTGCAGTATCGGAATTCCTCTATTTTCCGCAAGTAGTTAGATCAGCGAAAATCTGAGATTGCTGGGCCCCGATTTTGGGGCCACTTTTTTTTAAACCGACTAGATTGGCGTTAGGTCCTGTATTCCATTTGGTGCTTTCGAGGTTCTACGTTTCCGTTTGTAGGTTTTCCCACGTGGTAAGGCGGTCGCCTTTCTTTTTCCCGGGCACATCGTGCGACTTTCCGTCAGTCTTGGCGTCATTCTTCGCGATGGAGGAAAAAAGAATGACCCGTTTCTATTTTTTCCCGAGCCTTCTGGATGTCTTCCTTCGCGTGTCCATTTCCACTCCGGAGCGCACGGAGGAGTATAAATTAGCGCAGATTAGAGCGGATTGCAATAATCAAGGGGGCCGTGTACTCCGGCTGCGCACCAGAGGCTGCGCAGTCGTAACGCGACCCCAGAAGTCTGGGCTGAATTGACTGTAAATGGCAGCAGCTATTTATACCCCCGGCACTAGCCATGCTCATGGTCCATTCCAACCGGAGTCGCTCATCCCAGAAGAAGGCCCTCTTCTCCATTCAGCGGTCCGTTCTCCGCGGAGTTCCATTCACTTGAGAGTGGAACGCTGAAGCCGCGAGTATCAACCCCTGGGTGGTTCTCTGATCTTTGTAATCACGGAACATGCAGTTCAAAAAGAAGACGAAACATCAAAGCGTGTATTACATTTTGGGTGATTCTCCGATCGTTGTAAATGCGGAACATGTAGATCAAGAAGAAGACGAAACATCAAATCTGCGCGTATTACATTTTGGTGGTTCTCCGATCGTTGAAATGCGGAACATGTAGATCAAAAAGAAAACGAAACATCAAAGCACGTATTATATTTTGGGTGGTTCTCTGATCTTTGTAATCGCGGAACATGCAGTTCAAAAAGAAGACGAAACATCAAAGCGCGTATTACATATTCAGTGGTTCTCCCATCTTTGTAAACGCGGAACATGTCGATCAAAAAGAAGACGAAACATCAAAGCGCGTATTACATTTTGGGTGGTTTTCTGATCTTTGTAATCGCGGAAAATGTCGATCAAAAAGAAGACGGAACATCAAAGCGCGTATTACATTTTGGGTGGTCCTATGATCTTTGTAAACGCGGAACATGTCGATCAAAAAGAAGACGAAACATCAAAGCGCGTATTACATTTTGGGTGGTCCTCTGATCTTTGTAAACGCGGAACATGTCGATCAAGAAGAAGACGAAACATCAAAGCGCATATTATATTTTGAGTGGTTCTTCGATCTTTGTAAACGCGGAACATGTCGATCAAGAAGAAGACGAAACATCAAAGCGCATATTACATTTTGGGTGGTTCTCCGATCTTTGTAAACGCGGAACATGTCGATCAAGAAGAAGACGAAACATCAAAGCGCATATTACATTTTGGGTGGTTCTCCGATCTTCGTAAACGCGGAACATGCAGTTCAAAAAGAAGACAAAACATCAAAGCGCGTATTACATTTTGCGTGTTACCTCGGGAAATTGGAAAGGGTACCATTCGTTTTGCGTAAAAATGAAAAAATGTTCATTATTTTCCCTCCCCAAAATACGGAGAATTAATAAATACACTATTTATTTTACGTAAAAACGCGGAAAATCAGAAAACGTGACCTTCATTTTGACCCAAAAAACATGGAAATTTAAAAAATACGCTCTTCATTTTCACGAAAATGCAGGAAATGCAAGACTGCGAAGATGCGTGCGGTTTAATCTCAGTTTAGAAATAACGTGGTTAAATAAATAATGCACGTTTGCAAAAAAAATGCAAATAAAATGTTTCGAACAAAAGTTTCTCATTTTTGTACGTAGAATAGGAATCAGCAATAAAAAATGGGGGTTGCCATTTAAAAAAAATGAACCTAACCTCATTTTCTACAGTCAAACTGATAGCTCTTCTTTGTGTGCCCCTCTGATACGAATAATTTTCGTTCCGAACATTGTTTCGTACAATGCGTATTTCTCGAGATATTTCGGTGTCTCCAATTAAATGAATCACCCCCTATGTGTGCGCGCACGTGTGTGTTTGTGTGTGAATGATATAATCTGCGGTAATAATAAAAATGCCTTTACAATACATTACATCGGAGGCAAATACAAAAGAGCTTCATGTCCTGGTTCAATTCAAGCTTTAGTAATTTAGATTTGTATGAATTGGCATGAATTGACATTGTATGAATAATGCCGATTGGATGTTAATGGCTATCATCATAGAACATTTTCCTCCCATGCACATCAAGGCCAAAAGATTCATGTCCTATAAAGCGTTCTAATGACCTTTTCATGTAAATTGGTGACTGTGAAGTTCATCCTGCATAAAAAAAAAAGATAACTTCAATTTAAAAGAAACTTACAGATATTTTATGAAAAAAAAATTCAGGCTGAGAAAGAAACAGAAGAGCCGTCGGTATTAATTGAATGTATTTTACAAACGTATTGTCACTATCGGTCTGTTTGCTTTGCGATAAGCAATGCTGTCAACCGATTGCTAAGAGTTCTCCGATTCTTCACTCCTGACCCTGATTGCTGGATCGATTATTTTTCTCAGTCTTATCAATCGAAAAAAGAATTTTATTACCCCCAATGTCAGCTTCTCTTCTCTTGAAGATCTTCCTCCACATTACGTAAAACGTTGAGACATTTCGGAAATACAAACATTGGCATAGGCGAACTTATGGTGAAGTGAAACCCCCTTCATACCAGTCAATTAGAATACAACACTTTTTTTTTTTTTTAAAGGGATTCGACCAAACTGTCCAAAACTTTGACACATGACTCGTGATCATTTAAGAATTGTCCTTACACATTAAAAATTTGGATTTTTCCCATTCCCGACGTGTTTCACTTTACCTTAAATCCCTTTTTATCAAATGGAACTCTAGCACCAAGATTTGATTTTTTTTTATTAGGTACAATGGCGGACATGAATGCCTCCTCTCCAGATACGGCATCGCCTGTGCAGGATAGGAGGGCATTGATGTCTCCCAGGGTACATCCATTAGCGCATTGGAAGTACATCACTGGCCGAAAAAATTCCTACAAACATTTCTAACTTCTACTAACTACCCGAAAAAGAAAATAACGATATCTTGTTTCAAAACATGCGTTTGAATCCTTACAAAAAGTCGTCATTGAAAATTCTTCCTTGGTCTCCTTGCTACAGATATGCATGTCTGAAAAACCCATACAGACAGTTCCAACAACAGTTACAACACATTTAATAAAGTTTAACAAGTACTTACGGAAACTATGACGACGCTAGACATCGTTAGTAAAAAATGCAAATCCCTTCACAAAGCAAGGACTAATTCTAA